ACTGCAACCTACAGAGTATTATACCGGTACAACTATGCAATTGGGAACACACAGGCAGAGGGATACAGAGCACGCTGCTTCGTAGCACCTTCCCGTTGTCAACTGATGTGCATACGTAGACTGGATGGATACCTCAATACCTCACCGCATACATTCGCAGAATCGGTCCGAAGGACGTATTTCATGTTTGTGTGACCCCGCGTGCCCCCGGGGCAGCTGTATTTTGTTCATTATTTACGGAAGTAAGTGCTGTGCTGTATAGGTGCCAACCGTCTGGCGGTACTGCTGTTGGTACCGCTAATTGTATTTCGACTGCTGTAGTAGCTGTGGGCGGTGTTCTGCTTGAGAGTGGGGAGAGCGGGCACAGCAGTCGTGAAGATCCCTCCTCTGATGAAATTACCATCGGGGGCAAAAGTGCGGGAATGGAAGATCCACTGTGAATTTGCGCATGACGAACTTTTGTCCAAAGCAGACCTGCGCCACCGCGAACAACCCAAAACGTGCGCCCTTTACCAGTTACAAGAGGTCACTGTTATGACGTGGGCCATGCCACATGGAACAAGGAATTGTTACTGACAACTGATTTGAATTTCTGACTTCGGTCTGGCAAAAATTCCCAAGGCTGGATTGCGGGATAGGCAACAAGTGATGATAATGAATACCCAAAGTTTTATTCCGAATTTGGAATCAAAACACACCTTCGCGGAAGAGGCCTTTCAGGACTGTTTACCTCCTCTCCTGAAACGCGCGTGGTCGGGAGCAGCCCCAAATGATCTCAGGCGAGCTTCTCTGGCGGTGAACACGTGTCCTGGCATGTAGTAGAGGTGCAACCAACCTTAGTTTGGCAGTGGGTTTGGGTTTGCCGAGAGGAAGAAAGTCCAACTAAATAGACCTACGTGTATCTGTGGCTCCCCCCGTCGTACACCCTTACCGTCACCTGCACTGCACTGACTGCTGCACACACATACATGCATGTGGTGAGTCTCCAACGTGAGAACTCCTCCCTCCCTCTGGGGCGCGTTCCTGTAGAGCTGGATGCTTGTATGTGCGCACACAGCTTGGCGCGTGAGGTTCCCCGCATCCGCTTCTTCTGTGGAAAAAGCCTACACGCGGCGGGGGTGCAGCAGCCGGGCGTTTGGAGCAACCGCGGAGAACGCCCGTGATTCATGTTGTTCGTGTCGGTGAGTGGAGAGAGCGAAGCAGCAGTTGATGTAGGCAGACGCTAGAGGAGAGATAACATAGGGCGGGTAATGAGCCGCGGGGTAGCCGACTCCGTAGGTATCTGCGATGTTTTTTGCGGTGGCGAAGTGCATCATCTTGAGTTTTGAATGCGTGATCAACAACAACAGACATTTTAGACTGGTTGAGTCGGAAAATATGCCAGGAATGCATAAAAAATTGTTGTGCGAATAAAATAGTCTACAGCAGTCGTAATCTCAGATGAAATGACGTCACCTGACCTAGGGCAAATTTCTTCTACTCTCAGAACACATGACGTCATCTGACCAAGGGCAAATTTCTTCTACACTCAGAGCCAATGACGTCATCTAACAAAGGGAAAAATTTCTTGAAATCTCAGAGCAAGTGACGTCATCTGACCAGGTGAAAATTCAACGCCTATCATTCTCCCTTCTTCCCCTCGCTCCTCGACAAGCTTTTGCTTAGACATGGGTTGTAGCGAAGGGGGGGGTCTTTCTGGCCAGCAGGGCTAGACTTACCCTCAAGGGATGACCGAAACCTTCTTGCTGCTGCGCATA